CGGGGCCGGGGCGGGCGGGCGGGCGCGGATCGGCCGCCTCCCCCGCTTTGGCCAAGAGGCTGGCGTTTGGGTATCGTTTGGAAGAGCTGGCGCGGGCTCTGCCGGCTGAGCTCCCCCGGAGCATCCTTGTGCCCATTACCGGCTGAGCGGGAGTCGGGCCCGGTCGCCGCGCTCCCGGGAGGGGGAACCGGGAGGGGCGTGTGATGGCTCTTGTCCCTCGGAGAGCGGGGGAACGGACGTGTGCCCAGGAAAGTCGCTTCTTTTCTGCTTTCGGCCTCTCGTGTGCCGTGTCTGAGGGGCGCCAGCCTGGCCGTGTGTCCTGCACAGCATCACCCCGGGTCGGGCACGGCCACCCCGCTTACACTGCCCTGGCCCAAAGTGGAAAAAACAGGCTCACAAGTGGAATTCCTTCACCATTTCGCAGAGAAAACACAAAAGAAACGGTTCAGTAATGCCCAAGGTTCACCGGAGGTACCTGATGATCTGTTGCTACTGTTCATATCTGCCGAAGGCTATTCCCTGACAAAATGAAACTTTTTGCCCTAGAAATGGAGTGAGTGGGGCAGCTCTGGAGAGGGGGTGGGTAAGAGACTGGCGGCTCTACTTGCTGTAGGTTCGGCAGAACTGGTCCCTCTTTCCAAACTTTGTGGTCCCTTGTTTCTGAAGGCTTTTGGAATCCTTTTCTAATTTTTGCGTGCCATACGCTGGAAGATGGACCTGAGGGGCTCCAGTACTGAGGAGATCAGGTCTCTGGAGAATGTCTGATCAGCAAATTGAAACAACCCTGATTATCAACAGATACTTCTAAAAATATTCTTCTTTGCACCCTTGTCCTGTGTATTCATTCATTTACACTGGGCACATCTCCGTTTCCTGTTGTGTTCACTGAGATGGTATTTCATGCCCCAAGAGAGCACTATCTGCTTTTATCTATAAACTTCAAAGCTGCCTTTCAAGCTATATGTGGTGTTCGTAATAGTTGTGAGCTGTGAGTTTTGCTTTGTTTTGTTATTTTATCTCACCAAATCTTGCATCATTTCGTCTCCTGTGATTTCTTCACTTCCTGCAATCCCAGTTCTCTGGCAGGATTGCGTGAACAGTGTTTCATCAAAAATCAGTATAGGCTTATAAATTCTTAGAAGAAGTGTTGAAAGACAAAAGCTTGATACTTGTTTTATGGAAGATGCACTGTTACTCACTCCAAATACTATCAGACAAGAAAAAATTTCCTCGAGGAGTGATCTTCCAAAGAAGACGACAAGAAATAAGACTTCTGGTGTTGGCCAGGTATTCCAAACGGCGTGATTTATATAATGAGGGGCCAGACAGAAGACTTTTTTTCTGTGATCTTTTTTTTAAAAAAACAAAAAACAACACACAGCAGACCAGCCCCAGCAAAAGACCCTAAAAGACAATCTAAAATGATGCATTAAACCTGGAGCTGCAGATATCAGAAAGCTTGTGTAGTCCTTCCTGCTAAAAGACTGACTTGTGGAAATGACAGCTACTGCCAGTGAGATGTGTCCTCTATCATTATTCCTGCAAATTGTGGTGTGTCCCAGAGGAAATGTAGCCGTTGTTCTTGGACTGTAAATCTTACAAGCAGTGCACGCTGGGTGCAGAAGGTTGAGGGATGTTTGTATGTCTGGCAAGTGCCAGGTTCTGTCTCACCTGGAATTCATTTCTCATGAAAGCTATTTAGGTGTTAAGGAAATCGCAACCCAAAAGCTAAAGGAACGTCATTATTACTTGGTAAAGACAAAATCTCTGATGAGTCTTAATGTGGAAGCAAATTTTAACAAGAACTAAGGCTGCTAAAAATACTTCTGTGGTTCCCCCTTTAAATCGCAGACAAGTAGTGTGGAAAAACATCTTAACTCTTTAGAATACTGCTTCAGGAGAATGTCTGTCATATCACCTGAACTTTATATTTAAGCTGCATTAAATTAAAAAAAGCTAGAAGATATTGTAAGGCAAGGTATAAACTTGATTTTTTTCTCTTGTAACAGACTTTAGTATTTATCTAGGATAAAATACAACTTCTGATTAAACACACACTTTATATTATTACTTTAGACCCTTCTAGTTTGCATTTAGAAAACAAAAAAGTTCTCACTTGTGTTTTTTTCTTGCTGCTTTTCCTTAGGTGTGCCAAAATGTCAGAAAGATCAGATATTCTTCACTTCAAGTTTGACAGTTATGGGGATTCGATGTTACAGAAAATGAACAAATTGAGGGAAGAAAACAAATTTTGTGATGTCGTGGTCCATATAGATGACATTGAAGTTCGTGGGCATAAAATTGTGTTTGCTGCTGGCTCCCCCTTTTTAAGAGATCAGTTCTTACTAAATGAATCCAGAGATGTAAAAATCTCTATCCTGCAGAGTTCGGAAGTGGGGAGGCAGCTGCTCCTGTCCTGTTACAGCGGCGTCCTGGAGTTTCCTGAAATGGAGCTGGTGAACTACTTGACTGCTGCCAGCTTTCTGCAGATGAGCCACATCGTGGAGCGATGCACACAGGCCCTGTGGAAGTTCATCAAACCCAAGCAACCCTTGGAGAACAAGGAGTGCGAACAGCAAAGTGACTCCTCCGAGCTGAAGGACCATCAAGGAGATGACGACTCTCTGCAGCAAGATTCGCCTTGTATTCAGCCTTCCGAAGACAGCATGGACATGGAGGACAGTGATATTCAGATCATCAAGGTGGAGTCCATCGGGGAGGTGACAGAAGTGAGGAACAAGAAGGATCAGAACCAGTTTATTTCTTCTGAACAAACTGCGCTGCATTCCTCAGAGCCCCAACACTTTCTTATCAACTCCACTGTTGAAAACAGAGCAAGTGAAATAGAGCAAAACCACCTCCACAACTATGCCCTTTCCTATGCTGGCAGCGATAACATCGTCCTGGCCTCTAAAGATATGTTTGGGCCTAACAACCGAGGCATAGACAAAGGCCTCCAGTGGCACCACCAGTGTCCCAAGTGCACCAGAGTATTTCGGCATCTGGAAAACTATGCTAATCACTTAAAGATGCATAAACTATTTATGTGTCTGCTCTGTGGCAAGACATTCACTCAGAAAGGCAATCTCCACCGGCACATGAGAGTGCACGCAGGCATCAAACCGTTCCAATGTAAGATCTGTGGCAAAACGTTCTCTCAGAAGTGTTCCTTACAGGACCACCTCAACCTGCACAGTGGGGACAAGCCCCACAAGTGTAACTACTGTGACATGGTTTTTGCGCATAAACCCGTTCTGAGGAAACATCTTAAACAGCTACACGGTAAAAATAGCTTTGACAATGCCAATGAAAGAAACGTTCAAGACATAACAGTGGACTTCGATTCATTCACATGTAGCGCTGCTACAGACAGTAAGGTCTGTCAGCAAACTGATGCAAGCCAGGTACTGGATGCAGGGAAGCTGCCTCAGGCTGTGCTCGGTTTAAGGAATGATAGTACCTGCGTCAATTAAGCAATTAAAACCAGCCCTTTGTAGGGATCGTGACTGAGAGGAGCAAAGAGTTGGTTTGGGCTCTTACCTAAACTAGTAGTGTGCCCTGAAAGGCTATGGATGGATGGATGGATGGCAGGTTGGACTGCAAAACCTGGCAGGTCTTCAGCCATCGTTCTTAGTCTTACTTGATATTTTCTGTGAATAGCAATCTTCCTTCAGGTTTCTGTCTGTGTCTCTACTGTGGATTATGGGGTTAATTGTTTCATTTCTCTCTGATTAGGAGACTCAAGACTAACACCTTTTGAAAGACTGAAGCTGTGGGCTGCAAGTAAACCATCTGCTGAACAGTTAGAGGCCTCTGTGTCTGGGCAGATGGAGGAAAGAGCAAAGAGGACAAGTCTGTGAGATAACCCAATTATTTTTTTTTTAAAGCACTGGATAACTGAAAGCACTCCATACAGTTAAATTTAAGCTTACCTCTTAAAATTATCTTTCTCTGATCTTACCCTTAGACCCCTACAGTATGAAGTATTTCTGTGTCACTTTTTTGCCCTTTCTAAACTATTTCAAGAAACTGCTGCTGCCAATCGATGCTATCTTAAAAGCTCTCAGGGTTTTTAACCTCGACCTGCATTATGAAAAGATAAAACCCTAAATGATTTGGCAGGGTTAGCTGATCACTGCGTAGAACTGTTCAAAATGAAAATAAATTGCAGCTCTGGAATGTGAGAGGCCAGTGCCTGGAGTGCAAGTATGACCTATTTCTTTTGCTGTCATACCTTGGATTGTTAAAGGGCCCTTACCAGTGTATGTACGGAGACAAGCTGAACATTTCAAAACTAAAAATTACCATCCATCTTCTGTAAATTTTGCATCACATAAGCCACAACAATTGTTGGTTTTAGAGCAAAGCTGGAGTGGAAAAATAATTGCTTTTTGACACTGTGAAAAGGTTCTGTTTTAAAAGCTGCAATGTATAACAACTCCATGCTTTGCTTTTTTTTCTTTTTTGCTTTTTTTTTTTTTCCTCCCCTTAGTTCTTGTATATCTCTCCTTGATATCTAATAAGGGCCACGTGTCAGTTAACTTGAAAAAAGAAACAAAAATACCTGCCATAAGAACATTAACAACATAAGGTTTTTTTGATTTCTTGGACATACAAAGAATACTTTTTTTTTTTTCCTTTAAGTGACCTGCAGAGTTTGTGACCGTTACTGTTTCACAGAGCCTAGGGTGAGGTATAGGTAGCACAATTTCCACAGGTTAATACACAACTATTGACTGCACTCAGCAATACCTCTTGTAAACCGCCTTAAACATCAAATGTAGCGGGAATGGCGTGTTAATTGGGAGTCTGGGATTATATCGTATTGCTTCTCAAAAGTGCCGTGGAATTATCCGCATCCCAATCAGGCTGAAAGAAACTAATTTATGTGAGGAACACCATTCCCAGTAGAACAGCACTCTTATTACAGTGAAGTGTAGCATAGACTAATAATCAAATGGCCGCTCCTCGGTAGAGAACTGCTGTTTGTGTTTGGAATAAGTATTTCTTCCGATGCAGCTCTTTTCCACAAGGTTTGCCGTGAGGCTGAGATTATGCTTCCTACCTAGAAGTAGTACTGTCTGTGTGTCTGAATGAGGGGGTGGGGGTGAAAGGCTGCTATTGTATGGTTACAAATGCTAAACAGGTATGACCAAAGGCGTGTTAGAGCAAAAAATGTTTTGTATGTAATTATCAAAAGTTGGTCTTGCTCTTCAGATACATGTGTGTAGAAGTCAAGATTTCCTTATGCAGACATTACACTGATGGACGATAAAAAGTGTTAATGTTGCAGAACGTTTTCAGAAATCCACATACTTTCAAGTAGAAAAGCAAGTGATTCTGTGAATCGGTTTTGCAATTGAGTTCTTAAAACTACTGTACTTGACTGTTACATGAACTAGTAGATGGACAGCTATGAAGTAAGCAATTGACATGGAATCAGGGCATTACATCTTTCAAGTTGTAGCAAATATATTTAGGTCTAAAATCTAACTATTTGGGACTTTTTAAAGCTATTGTTCAGGTTCCTGGGGCAGAAAATAGGTTTGCATGGGAAGAAAAACTGTTTTTTCTCTTAAAGCTACCCGCTTTCAGAGTCGTTTTGAGCTAAAACTGACTGTGACGGTTGCATCTGACACTTGCATTCTGTCTTCAGGCAGAATCTTCTGTATTGTTCAAACATTTTGATAATATATTATTCACTATATGGAAGTAAGTTCTAGTGCTAACGTCAAAAAGAAGATAGACATGGAGAATAAGAGCTTCCAGAGCCAGGTCAACATGCTGTAAGGGACTAGTGAATGATCTAACCAGATGTGAATATGGACACGTAACGGAAATGCTCTTCTGCCAGAAAAAAAAAGGAATAAAACTGTAAAAATGTTAGAAAAAGCGGCAGCAAGATGAACAGTATTGAAAGCTTTGTCTATCTGGGAAGGTTTTTTGTGGCATCATGAAGCTGTAACGTTACTGCAAGGAGAATACAGCTTGGTGAAGTAGCTGTGGGTGACCTGAAGCCAATATGAAGAGACAAGGCATTTCCTAAGAAACAAAGAAAAAAAAGATTTGGTGAAGATATATAGGTTTTCAGTCCACCCTGTGCTGTGGTGATGTCAATGTCTGAGAAGCTGAGACTGCTGGCCGTTCAGTTACAAGGCTGCTTGTGGTCATTTGGTGAGACCCTGGCAGGAATAAACAGGAAAAAGCAGAAATGAAGACGACTGCTTGTTCAATGAAAATGGACATATCTGTTGGATGAAAAGTGACTTCTTACTAATGTCTGTGCTTCTGGCAAAAGGGTCAGACCAAAAGATTTATGCAGGAGATGGCTGCGTGACTCCAGAAACACTGGAGATGTGAGAGCAATACGCTGATGGCACCGTGCAAAGCGCACTCGGTGGCAGAGTTCATCTAAGACTTGCCCCTATGTGGAACAGACAAGTGAAGAGTATAAAAGAGGTATTAGAAAAGAAAAATCTGGCTAATGCTTCTCTGAATTAGAGATTAAAATGGAGTGAGAATTATTATAAATGGAATATACAGAGGCAGCTCGATTATAGAATAAGATGAACTTAATTGTCCATGTATGTAAAACGTTGTCTTCATTGCAATGTTCCGATTAGTGAAAGACTAGATCCATTGGTTGTTGCTACTGATGCTGCGTATTCAGACGAGGACTATGGCAGTTATCATGATCTGTGTGTTAATGTGTAGAATACTATTTGCTGGTAAGTGGATAGTCTAACAACTTAATGTGCTGTACAACTTCCTGCGTATCCTAAACATAACTGAAGTCTATTACAAAAATATTTTAATAATTCCTTGAATATATTAGGAATTTTTTTTTTTTTATGTTGGCATTTTATTTATTTATTTTATATAGATGAAGAGAATCTTAGAACTCTTAGGTTTACCAGAGGTTTAGGTTGACCACTTTTCAGAGTGGTGGTAGTTTGTGTAGCGTGTGTTCCTGCAGCATACGGTGCAGCTGCACCGCCTCCTGTACAGATCAGGGATGAGTCTTTCCTTAATTTATTTTTCTTTTAGAAGACGTGTGTTGCAAGTTAGTAACTGATGAAATTGAAGTGTCATTCTTTTTCTCCCGTAGCTTTTTGGTAAAGCGTAGATAGCTGCCGCTGAACTTTTGTTGAAATAATTTCAAAATTAATTGTGTGGGGCTGGTTCTGGTGATGGGGAGGAGTAAAGGCGAGGAGGGAGAATCAGTTTGTGATACAAACGGAAACTGTTAAAGGAATTCTAAAGTCACGTTAAATCTCGATTTTTAAAAGCCAAGGGAGGAAACTCGCCGGCCCTCCTGCCGTGGTAAGGGTTGAGAAGGCAGAATGGACGTTTTTCCTTTGAGATTGTCTAACGGACGGACTGAGCATTAGCTACCTCTTCAGTGACTGGGCAGCAGTCTGACCCTACGGGTGATTACCAAAGCAGGCGCGCCGGTCGGCGCAGCTTCCTCCCCGCTGCGGGGCCGGGGAGAAGCCGGTTGCCCGCCCCGGTACCGGGGCCCGGCGGTCCGCCTTTCCCTCGCCGTGTCCTCGCTGAGGGCGCCCGCCCCCGCGGCGGAGCCCCCGGGCAGCCGCTCTCCGAGATGCCTTACGGGGGCGGCCGATACGTTGCTACCTCTACCGTGCGTGTGGCGAGGCGCGGCCCGGTGTCGGCGCGGCGCGGGGTTCCCCCGGCGGCAGCCGCTGTAGCAGTGCCAAGTCTTCTAATAAACGTGCTGCTAACTCTGCCTCCCGCCGCCTCTCATTTCCCGCCGTGGGACCGGCGCACCGGGGAGGGGGG